TTCCAATGCCAAATGATGAAATATCGTTGCATATCGCCAAGTTGAACGCACGATGGCATAGGCGCCCCAATCAGGTTTACCGTTCCAATGCCAAATGATGAAATATCGTTGCATATCGCCGAGTTGAACGCACGATGGCATAGGCGCCCCAACCAAGTTTACCGTTCCAATGCCAAATGATGAAATATCGTTGCATATTGCTAAGTTGGACCATCGATAGACCACGGAAACTCTGCAGAAATGAAATCTGCCAGCACATTTTCCTATATACGGCTTTCTCCATATGGTCATAGCTTGTCGAGTATGGAGAGTATGCAATTGAGTCAACTTCCATCGAAGAGAGCTCATCGAGATCTTCGAATCTTCCCATCAGGGAGCTTGGTACCTGAGCCTTCCTGATATTTACGTACGCTGAGAAATTTCGAGGGGCGCCTTTTTTCGATCACACTCTACGTTCACTTCTTTCAGGAGTTTGCTCATTAATTATGGGAGTTCACACACGAGTTATGGTAGAAGCGTACAGAACCCAACGAGGATTGCCCAAAATTGCCCAGAGTTTTCATATTGTCAGCGGCACGTGTAGTTGACCATGTGCATGTTTCCCACACTGATTTCGAGAGGTTGTACGGCACAATCTCTGTGATATCTCATATCTCCATGGTTTCTCCCACGGCCTCTGCATGTGCCCTTCCTTAATGTCAGGTAGGAAAGACCGTGGCCCAGGATTATAGGAGTATTGCACGCTCGGCAGCGTGAACTTTATCGGACCATCGGGGAGCCAGGTGTGCGACTGTCGTCTATTGCGAGCGTCGTGTCCTGTGAGGTAAATAGATTCGCAATAGAACCATATCTGCGATTGAGGCCACTCGCCATGAGGTGTCATCGTGGCAACGATATCAGGGCGAACGCTGGGGCCCCGCACAAATTCCTGGCATCATTTCGAGTGGATCTTTCCATATTTCTGTCGCATTGGTTGATGTTGCATAAGATCTTCATCCTCACCGTTGCCGTCGCGTGGGAATCTATCGCTCTCTCCTCGGTAGATGACCGCAGCCCAGGTCGCGCGGATACCGCCGAGAATGAATGCGTGGTGACCTGGGCTAATCTTATTGATCCCAAAAAGATTACAGTCGAAGTCTTCGCGGATCGGATTGCAGACCCATCAGTTGCCGGCCGTACCATCCGAGCCATCCGAATCAAGTCCTTTGAATATACCTCAAAGTGAGTGTCGTATCTTGGGGCCATTCTGTTGTTGCGAAATTACTTTTGTAGGGATGGTGAAGTGCAAAGGCGCACCACTGATATCATTAAGACAGTGATAGATTCCGAGATGCTAAGTGCCTTGAGCCGCCGAGATGTGTCTGAGCACGTTGACGAGCAAACCCTCTGTAGAGAACAGTTGAAGATCTTCGCCGAGTATATGGATGACAGCTCTGAGAGATACCGAGCAGATGCAGCAAGACTCGGGATCATGCCGGGAAGCAAATCCTTCACCGCCTGGAGCATCCTCAACCTCATATTCGAGTGGCAAATTAACCGCCGATTCGGCGAGTCTATTACTGAAGAGGTAGCAGCTTGTATCTACCACTCATGGACTCTTTCCCTTGAGTAGAAATGTGTTATCAGCGCAGGGGCTTGGCTGAGCTATATCGGCTCTTCCGGTCTGCCCCCGAGTAACGAAATGATACGCGCGACAGTGAAAGCAGGTTATGTTCCCGAGAAGAATGTGGTGGATATCAAGTTTTTCTCTGTGAACAATGGCTTATCCCGCAAGTGAGGCGACTCGTACGATTCTGGCGTTGTCGTTCCTGCTGTCGTTCTTATTGCAGAAAGAGTCTTCGTGGTGATGATTCGATTCTCAATGTTTCAGGGAGGAAGAGCTCCCCGCTGAGGAACTTGCTAGGCTGAACGCGGATCTGAGAAGTATGCGTTATCACGTGACGACAGAGAATCTTCCACCAGAGAAGTATAATAGCGATTCATGCCATTACTACTTCGAATACAGAGGCTGGCAGCTCGAACAGATGCTCCCTCCTAATAACGCTTTTACAGTCATAGACTATGGAAGTATAGGCCATTACAAACTTTTCTTGCCTTTCTATCGCTGGATAGTGTGGGATAGGATACGTGAAAAGGATAAGAGACGAGCAGAGAAGAAGAGGAAGAAATGCGAGGAAAGAAAAGGGGAAGGTCAGAAGAAACCGTGCGTGTTATCGTAGACGAATAATACACAATTACTCCTCGTAGAACATGTTGTTTGATGTTGGTGTATTGAAAGCAGCTGTTGTTTGGTCGAAAGTGACCTTCTGATCAGAGTATGGGGGAATAGGTACACGCTCAACAAGACGTATTGATGACAATAAGGAAACTCCTTTAGTTAATTCGCGTTGGTTTTTCTACATTTCGGCTACCCGAGTGTAAATATCCCCTCATGATGAGGGACAAATATTATAACACTGTCGAGTCGTCTTTACACCTTATGGGACCTTTTAGTGAATTGGATGGGGCGGCTATGCCACCCTATAAAATGAAGGAGTACAATCAATTTCGCAGGAGCACATGATAGGGAGATCAATTTTGTCGGGTGGGGCGGCTATGCCACCCTATAAAATGAAGGAGTACAATCAATTTCGCAGGAGCACATGATAGGGAGATCAACTTTGTCCGGTGAGGCGGCTATGCCAGCCTATAATATCAATGGGTACAATCAATCTCGCAGGAGCAAGTGGAAGGAAAATCAATTCTGTCGGGTGGGGCGGCTATGCCACTCCATAATATGAAGGAGTACAATCAACTTCGCAGGAGCAAGTGGAAGGAAAATTAATTCTGTCGGGTGGGGCGGCTACGCCACTCCATAATATGAAGGAGTGCAATCAACCTCGCAGGAGCA